TAATTTGCTGACATCAACTACATTAATCATGTTGTGCAACCATCACCCATAATCACTGCCAAAATTCCTATCATCATAAACAAAAACCCACTGAATCCTAGACAATGGCTTCCCCTTTCTCACCCCCTCCTGCCCCTGGTAATTACCAGTAATCTTTGGTCTCTACACATTTGCCTATTCTTACCTAATATAAGTGAGATCATATATTTTTCCTTTTGTGATTGAGTTATTTCACTGAGCAAAAGGTTTTCAAGATTCATGCATGTTGTAGCCTGGTATATTTAACTTTTTTTAAAAAAAATATGGCTAAGTATATTTGAAAACTATCATCACCTGCTAAGTAAGCATAGAAGCAAATAACCACAAAATTCTAGCTCTAGTTGACAGACAAAATGTAAACTAGATTTAAAGTGCTATATTTTAAAAACAAAACAAAAATACAGTTTGCATTTTTTGGGTAATAAATCTAATTGTTTCATTTTTTGAAGACGTGAAACTAAAAAGAATGAAAAACACATATAGGATCATTATTGCATACTTGCTCTATTTTGTTCTTTTCATTCCAAGAATGTCTTTTTCAGAGACAGATAGCTAGCTGGTCAAATTTATACTTAAGACACTTACCTACACTTGACCAGAGGTTTCAGAGACTACTCTACTAGTTGACTAGTTTAGATTTAGTTATATATGAACATTTTCCCACTAATACTCTTTTTTTTCCTCAATAATATTCAATAATACTCTTAAGTCACATCTCATTTATCTACCTCCTTAAAAAATGCATAGTCTTATTTTAAATCATGTAAAAACTGCCAATAAACTTCAGAATTTGCTAAGAATAGAGGTACTGTGGTTAACATGCATTCAAGATTGTGTGACCAGGAGAAAAGCAAATATTATTAAATATGAATTCAATCCTTACCAACACATTATGGAACTATTTTTTTCCAATAAAAAAGCTAGTGCAAAAAAGGTTTAATTTCATTAAGATTATCATTTCCAAATCACAGGGAAAGGAATTTGAGTAATTTACCAATTTTGTTTTCCACTGCGTGCCTTAGAGATACCTCACTAAAAATTGGTATCTTACACAACAGAATGACAGTTGCAGAATGTAATATTGTAGTGACAGTACTGAGGTTGATTGTTACAGATATATTAAACTCTTTGAATATTAAATGGTCACATTTTAATTATTTATATGGAACACTGGTCCAATAACATAAAATTGAAAACAGCAGCTGGAAATGTATCTCACTCAATGTTCAGAGATAAAATGGTTAACCATTTTCCGTCATTTTCTGCAGGTAAATTCTTTTTCATATCGGAATCTGGTGGCAATTAAATTTTGGCATTTTTCCAAGCTACTGTATGAACAAGATGCTGAAGGCTATCACTTTACAGTATACTGCAACATAAGGACTCTTCAGGTCACTGATTCTGGTGTACTTACAAAATACACCTAACAGTCTAGTTTTATTTCTGTTCAGGACGCTGGTGTCAAGGATCAGACATAAGCATAGCTACATACAAGCAGCAAGATTACAGTCAACAGACTCTGAAAACTGAGAACAGCAGACATGATGAGGCTGCAAAAGGGCCAGCTACATCATCCTTCTGGGCTCAGGGTAGAAGAGCCATGCAACTATTTAACTTTTGAGGAACTGCTCACCTGCCTTCCACAGCAGCTGCACTATTTCACTGTCCCACCAGCAGTGTATGAGGGTTCCGATTTCTCTACATACTCAGCAACACTTATTTTC